CGGCGGAGAGAGGGCGGGGGGGGGGCGGGCTGTGCCGGGCAGCACGGTGGCGGGAGACTACGGCCCCCGTGGCCCCGGTGGGCAGGGTGGGCCGGTGTGGGGAACCTAGCCGGCCCGGGCGGGCGCGGGGCGAAGTTGGCGGAGAAAGCAGCGAAGGAAAGCGGCGTCGTGATGCATGGGGTCGCGGGTGCCGCCGCCGCGCAGGGCGCAATATCAGCTCCATGCCGCATTGGATTCACCGCCTGTTTGCTGCAACCTCCTGGCCCGGGCCGCCAACGCTTGAGGAAGTCGAGCAGGGCGCGCGCTGGGACGTCTTCAGGACGCGCCAGTCCGTTGCTCTGCTTCCTGTACCCCGAGGTGAGAGAATCCCAGAGAGCGCGGGTGTCCGGCGACGCGGCCCAGCTGCCTTTGACGATGGGCAGGAGCTCGCGTTGTGCTGGCGGAGGCGCTCCCCTGGCAGACTGACGCTGGGGCGGTCCTCAGTGCTGGAGCCGCTGGCGTCCGCCGTCGCGCGGGAAGGGCGAGGAGCAATTTGGGTGGGGGATGGGTTCCTGTTGTCGCCAGCAATCGCCGCGGCCCCGACGGACTGCAAGGGAGGTCGCCATAGGGTCACGCCGCACTGGTGCATCAAGAGTATCGTCGTCCGTCGTCCTTGTGGCCGACGGGACTCTTGGGGGAGGGGGTCCCGCGGTACACGGAGGGCGTCCGCAGTCCTGAAATGGGTCCTTTGTTTTGTTCCTCCTCCCCGTCGTTCCCGGCAGACGGGTCGCACCGAACTGGTGCATCAACAGTGTCGTTGTCCGCCCTCCCTGCAGCCCGAGGGACCCTTGGGGTGAGGGGATCCCACGTCGCACGGAGGGCGTCCGCTGACCTGAAGGGGTCCTCCATTTTCTTCCACTCCCCCCTCCTACGTGGCGGCAGGGTCGCACCGAACTGGTGCATCGAAGGTGTAGTCACCCGTGCTCCAAGCGGCCAGCGGGACCCTGGGTTCCCGCGGCGTTCGGAGGGCGGATCCGCTAACCTGAAGGGGTCTTGGAAAATTCCTTCACTTCCCCCTCCCCCCTGTCGGAGGGAGGAGAAGCGATACCAACACCACCAGGGGGTCCACCTCCAGCGAGGAGTTCCACGATGCCTCCCCGAGCGAGAAACTGGGGATGTATCGAGCGAGAGGGGGGGACCACACCACCAGGTAGACCCCCCTTGCCTCCGCGAATCTCCTCGCCCTGTTGGTGTTGGTGTCGCCTTTCCTTGCTCCTACCCTGGCAGTGGGGTCGCACCGAACTGGTGCATAGGTGTTTTCGAGATCCGCCCTCCCCGCGGCTGGCGGGGCCCTTGGGGGAGGGGGTCCCGCGGCGCACGGAGGGCGCCTGCGGTCCTGGGGGGGGTCCGTCCCCATCCTTTCCTCCCCCTTTTATACTGGACAAAGGGTCGCACCGAGCTGGTGCATCGACGGTGTTAGTCTCTGTTCTCCCGTGCAGGGGTCGGGGGAGCTGGGGGCTGAGTCTCCGTTCGCGTCGCAGTGATGGGCACCTTGGGGTCGCCGTGGCACAGCGGGGCGATCCGGGCGCCCCTATAGACGGCTCTCGTTGAGGCGCACTGCGGAGGGCATGGCGAGTCGAACGGACTCCCCCACGGATGCGCTGGACCTCAGCGCCTGCTGGCCGAAGTCCCCAGCCGCGGCGGCGCTGCCACCATGCTGATCCTGGGACGGCTAGCAGTGCCGCAGTGGCCGTGCTTGAGCTCTGTCTGGCGCCTCCTGGCGAACTCCTCGGCGCTCCCACCCGTCGTGAACAACAACAACAACAACAACAACCTTGGTGAGGGTGAAGCCCGCCGCGATACCCGGATCGAAGGTGACCTCAGCCTGGTCGTTGCAGTCGATTAGCACAAACGAACAGCAGCAGCAGGGGAGGGGGGAGGAGGAGGAGGGGAGGAGGAAGAGGAGGCAGCCACGGGCTGCGGCACACGTACGTGCGGCCGGGGGCCGCCATCACCACTTGAGCCACCCCGGCGGCCGGGCCAGCCGGGGCACTTCTGCTTCCAGAGCGTCGACAGGCGGCCGGTGTCGCCGCGGTGCTCGCAGAGGTAGCACTCCCAGTACTCGTCGACGACGTTGAGGCCGAGAATGTGGAAGCCACACGCGGCCGCGTACCGGTTCCGATGCACGGCACCGGGCCAACAAATGAGCCGCAGCCGGGCTGCAGCAGCGTCGTCATCAGACCGTGCATGACCCCGCGCTCCCGGGCCGCCGGCGCGGGGCGGCGGGCGGCCACTGAGGCAGCAGGGGTTCAGGTACGACACGTGGCCAGCGTCGGAGAGCACGAGGCCGCGGCCGTCGCGGCGCGCGCGGGCCTTGTTCGCGACGGAGTGCTGCTCAGCGCCTTCGCGCCTGCTCTCAACATGAAGTCTCGCAAGTGTGACCGCGTCAGTGGGCGGGTCTGTGCCGAGATCGAGGATCACAGACAGCGCGTCGCCCGCAGGCGTGTGGTCAAGGACGTCCACAGCCGGCGCTCCACCGAAGGCTGCCACGAAGGGCTGATCCATCTGCGAGCGCGCTCGGCGCACTGATGGGATCCGAAAGAACTGTTCCAACTGATGCACCAAGGCAGGACAACGCATGCGCGGGCGCATGGCGAGAGAATGCGACGTGTCCTTTTGCGTGCAGCCGTACATACGCCATGCGGTCGAAAAGCACCGGGGCGGCGCCAAGAAACCAGCTGCGTGCTTCTGCAGGACGCACAGCGCGGCCTGGAAGAGCATGCTCTTCTGCTTGAGGGTCTGCTGGACCACGTTGACGGACGGTGTCAAGTCAGGCAAATGCCACTTGCGGTCAACCAGGACCGGGAGTCGCGTGTGGGTCTCAAGCTCGAAAAGCACCGCTAGCTCGACGCAGCTGACCTGCCCGAAGCCAGGGTCGGGAGGCGAGTTGCACGGGGCCGGCCAGGCCAAGGTGCCCCACCATTTCAGCAGACGATCATAAAATACCCTGCCGTGGGGGAGCTGTGCGTGCGTCAACCCAGCTGGCAGGGTAGCGTTCACGTTAGACCAGGAGAAAGTCTCGCCCCACACCATGGGATGCTGAGGTGGGAGGTCGTCCGTGGCATCGGGGGCAGGAGGCGGAGCGTCCTCTGCTTCCGCGGCCTCCGTTGCCTCACTCTGCTGGTCCAGCATGCGGTCCTGCACGCCGAGGAGGAAGGTCTGCACCCGGCGCACTGCGGCAGCGCGGCGCTCCACAGCAGCGCGGGCCTCATCCCGGCGAGGTTCATGATGCCGACGGCCACGGTGCGCAGACTGGTCGGCAAGATCGTTCCCCACGCGGCAGTACTCCTCGAAAGAGCTCTGCACCTCGGACGGGTCAACGTGGCCCTTCACCTTCTGCACAACCACGGCGCGGCCGGGGTGCGCCCGGAGGGCTGCGTCGAAACGCTTCCACAAGTCTCCGTTCGGACGGGTGGCATACGGCCATGGGAGGCCACGGCCACCAGCAGCGATCCGGAGGATGGCCTCCGAGACGACGCTCTTGTTGTCAATGAAGACACGAAGGGGCTGCACGACATTCTCAACCAAGAGGGCCAGGGGGAGAAGCTCCGCCCTCGTGATGGTCTGCACCAGGCCCGGCAGAGGGGTGGCGTATCGTCTCCTCCCACCCGTCGTGAACCCGACAGGGACCCAGGAGTCCACGGGGTCCTGTACGCCCTCCTCGAAGTCGTGCGCGCGCAGCGGGGATCCTGTGCAGAGCGCCCTGTCGCCCCCCGCGGGGCCGGTCAACCCGTCTTGGAGGAGCATTCCGATGATAGCCGCCGTGGCAAGACGACCGTTGGCAATCTTCGCCGCCGACCTCGTTTGCTTCTCCCTGGCGTCCCTGGACGTCAGCACCTTGAAGCCGACGTCGCCTGCGGCAGCAGCGGTGTCAGCGGATTGGGCCCGGAACAGCTCGCAGAACGCGCCGTGCCCCGCGATCTGCGCCCGGCCCGCCGCGGAGGCCTGGGAGATCGCCCCGAGCCCATTCGGGACGTCCGCGACCTTCCGGGCAGCAGAAAGCGAGAAGTGGACGGGCAGCTCGCCTGTGAGTTCGGGCGTGATGTAACAGCCCATTGTCGCCGGAGGCGCCGGCGGGCGCCCGCAGCGGCCAGCGGCGGAGAATCCGCGCGCGGCAGCTGGGCAGCCACGGCGGCGGCCGCCGCAGCGCGGGGAGCGCCAGCGGCGGCCGCGGCGCCGGGGGCGCCGGCGGCAGCGGGGCCAGCGGCGCGTGCGGCAGCCGCGCGCCGCTGCCGCCGCCGCCGCCGCGACGCGGGGGTCTCCGCGCCAGCGGCCATGCCGAGGCGGCGGTAGTGCCGCGCGGCCGAGCCAGGCTACGGAGCTCCATCGTGAATGCGAGCAGGTCTCCGTCCGTGCAACCGATCGAAGGTTGCGCGACGAGAGCGTGCGGCGCCACGGTGAGGGGCCCATTGAAATCGGCACGGCCCCCAGCCGTACAATTATTGTGTGGGTTCGCGGCGCCAGGGCGACAACCCCATTTTGCACGCGGCCCGCCCTCCATTTGTGAAGCTGTTCGAATTTCAGCGCTTCAACAGTGAACGGTGAGGGCCTGCACTGATCCCATATTCTGGCGGGGGCAATCGTGAAGAGTTGTTCATAAAGACAGGTATGGAGGGGAGGCGGAGGAGGAGGAGGAGGAGGAGGAGGAGGAGGAGGAGGAGGAGGAATAGGTGGAGGAGGAGGAGAGGGCGAGGGAGGAGGAGGAGGAGGAGGAGGAGGAGGAGTCCTGACCCGTACGTTACTTTATCCCTCGCCCTGTACCTAGCCACTCGCAGGTAATGCTCGCGGACACGTCCCCTACAAAAGACACGCGACCGCTTTCGATGCGAGTATTTGTCTTTCCCTCGTGCTCCCTTTCCATCCTGCCCCTGCTCCCGCTGCCAATCCTGCTCTATCTCACCTCTGGCCTGCTTCCTCCTCAGCCTCCGTCCTCTTCCGTCATGTTGCTATTGGGCCCCGAGGTCGCCACGGAACTCTCCTACGGTTGCCTCAACTCGATGGCGGAGACGTGGTATAGCCGCCAGGCCTGCCAGATGGATCTTAGGCTCGTTGGGGGGGACGAACAGCTCTCCTCGAGGAGAAGGTGGAGGAGAAGGAAAAGTAGGACGAGGAGGAGGAGGAGAAGGAACACGACTACCATAATACATCCAAGATGCGTCAAAGATATTGCCATAAACATTCCTGTCCCAGTCCTCTGCGCACAAGTCCTTACAGTTTTTGTTACAGCTGCGGGAAGTGCCCATTTGAAATGTGAGCGCTCCACAAGTGTGAAGTTCAAAGGACAAGCCCGCTTTGGAGAGGACCCCAAGGATCCGTATAGATGTTGCAAGCTGTTGATAGAACATTGCGAGAGGCCTTAAGGCAAGAGCCATATGTTGAGTATCACCCGCCCTCCATCCTAAAGCGAACGGGCGCGGCGTTCAGAAGATCACCACATTTTGAAACCGCCGACTTCCATCCGTGTAGATGTTGCAACATGTGCATGTGCATGGCCAGGAGAGGTGAGGAAGTCCCAGGCAAAACGTCAAGCCCGACCCAGCGACGCTCGACGACGCAGAGTTCTTTATACAGAGCAGGGGTGGCTGGGGGAAAATGAGATGAAGGGGGGGAGATGGGTTTGGGTTATCTGTTAGGGAGGGGTGGGGGGTTTCTAGGGAACGCGCCAGGACGAGGCTCCACTGGATCGTCCGATTGTTCCGATTCGAAGACCAGTTTCGTGTCTCCTGCTTCTCCTTTTCCTGCTCCCCCTCATCCCTTCCGTTTCCTTCCTCCCCTCCCCGTCTTCGTCGTCGTCCTCCTTATTTCTCTCCCGTTCCCCTTGCCGTCGCACTCGTTTTTTTTTTTTTTGTTCGTCGTCCTTTTCATCTTCAGACTCTCGCTTACTCTCTCATTCTCTCATTCTCTCTCTCTCTCTCTTTCTCCTCTTCAGCGCCCTCACGCTCCTCGTATTCGCTCTCTCCCCCATCTCTCGCTCCGCCTCTTCCCTCCTCTCTCATTCTCTGCAAATTACTGCTGCTCCTCCTCCTCCTCCTCCTCCTCCTCCTCCTCCCGCCCGCCCGAGGCTTGCCTGGGGTGGCAGTGCCGTGGACGCGCCGCAGATGTTCGTGGGCTTCTTCACGGTCTTCTCGTGCCTCCTGGTCGTCGTCGCCACGCCGCTCTTCCTGCTGTTCGGGCTGCCGAGGCTGCGCAGGGCCTGCGAGGCCCTCGGCCTCCAGTACCGGGACCTCTCTCGGAGAACCCTGTGCTGCCACCTGGCCTGGTCCAGCAGGCCCAGAGGGTGGCCCAGATCTTGGTGGACACGTTAGTCAGGAGGGAAAAGACACACAGACACAATTAATCGTCGATTCCCACAAACATATGGAAAACTATGGGAAATGGGAGGGAAGACCCAAACCTAGAAAATATGGGAAAACATGGGGAATCCTGTTATTTGCGCGCATTTATTTGTGTGTCCCAGGGCCCCTTCAACTTTGGCCCCCGGCCAGAGCCAGAGGGCCAGGCCGGAAGGCCGTCCGTGTCCACCAACATTGGAGCCCAGCATGGTCTTGCTGCAGCTTTCAAGCAGTGGCGAAGCGTCCTGGCTCGCCGATAGCCCTACCAAGCAGTGTTCTTAGAACCTTTTGTGGTTTCCACGAAATGTTCTTAGCATATTTCTGGCGGAGTCTGTTTTGTTTTTATCACATCGGGAACATGTTCCAATAACATGATTTTTGTTGTGAGAACAGTTGTGGGTTCTAAGAACACTTCGTGGTAGGACTATGGGAATGACGGGACGGTCGGTCCCTGCTCAAAGTTTGTCGGGTGCGTTCCCTCTCCTCGGTGTCGGATGCGCTCCCTCTCCTCAGGACTGGACCAACTACCTGGTCGGCCTGGGCTTCGGGATCGCCTCGGCGCTCGTGGCGGCGCACCTCGAGCTGTGCCGAAAGAACTCGGATCTCCTGGACATCGTCAGCGAGTGTGCGCCCGTTGGCGCCTCGGTGCGGTCGATGAGCGGCTTCTGGATGCTCGTGCCGTACGCGCTTATGAGCATTAGCACGCTGCTGACGGTCCCCACCATCATGATGGTATCATTCAGGCAGGTACCGCGGAATATGCGGTCGATCACAGCCGTAACGTTCCTTTTCATGCAAAGCGCTTCGGACTCCGTCATTACTTCAGTCAGTCTTGCAATGGTGGAGTACACTCCGAAGGATTTGGACACCGGCAATTTAGAGTACCTTTATTTTATAGGCATCACTGTGAGCCTGACTCTATTGGGCTTGTTCTCCTTCCTGCTCCAAGGTTTTGAAGAGAGGAATTTTCTTGACACCGTGGTCAGGGTCAATGACTCCGACGACGAGTCCACCAACATGGCGCCCGCAGCCTGAGATGGCGCCGGCCGGAGCGGGGCTCTCGATTGGGGACCTTTTCGGGAGCTTGTTGCCACCCGCACAAAGATTCGCCGATCGACCGCCGCGCTCCCTGGAGAGTGATGGGCTCCGCACGGGAAAGGGGACGCGCCCCTCTCTCGGCGGCCCCCGTGGCAGGGGTGAGGAGGCCCCCCCCCCTCCTCCCCGGCCCTCTTGACTCACCGAGCGCAAGCCGCTCTTCGCAAAGTGCCTGCTCGCAGGCGTCCGCACTAGACATGCCTTCGTCGATGTACCTCATGTATCGTAGATCCCCCATGGCGGCTCAGGGCCACGTGCGAGTAGTTCTCTTGCGAGTCGTGGAACGCGCTTGTCTGATTGCTGCCAGAGCGCCCGTGCGCGCCTCCTGCCCTCTCCCTGCCCTCTAACAGGGCCCTCTCCTCCTCCTCCTCCTCCTCCTCCTCCTCCTCCTCCTCCTCCTCCTCCTCCTGCCCCCTGACAGGGTGCCCTCCTGCCCTCCCTCCGCCGCCGCCGCCGCCTCGTGCCGGGCCTCCCCTGCCCCGGCCCCGCGCTGCCGAGGGCGCTTGCCAGGTCGCAGCCAGCTCGTCAGGGGGCCCGGCTGAGGCCCCAGCGTCGCAGGCCTAGAGGTTGACACCAACACCAAGATTGGTGGTGTGCCTCCACCGAGGGAAGACGATCCCGATCTCGGTGATGGTGGCAATAATCTGGCTTCCAAGGTGACCGAAATATTACCACCAACACCGAAATCCAGGATCATCTTCCCCACGTGGAGGCACACCCCTGTGCTGGTGTAGGTGCCAATTTAGAGTTTCCAACGGCGGGCACGAGTCGAGGCCCTCTGGTGCTTCTGGGGTGCGAGCGCCGCCTCTCCACAGGAGGAGGTTCGGGAGGAGAAGAAGGACGAGGAGGAGGATATGACAATGATGAGGGGGAGGAGGATGCGGAGGGGGCGGGAGCGCAAGTTGTTGTATCACCTGCTCTCCGTCCTGCCCTTCCGAATGCCTTTACCGCGTCTCACCGCTGCCGTCTAGATCTTTTGTCATTCTCGAGTGACATCTTGGGGTCCAGGGTTCCGATTGCCAATTCGCGCTCCCCCTCTTGGGTCCATCTTGGGGCCGTCTTGGGGGCCTCTTGGGCTTTTCCTGGGAGCTTGGAGGCCGTCCTGGGGTGTTCTTTGGTCACTCTTGGGCCGTCTCGGACGCTCTTACGACCGAAAAGGCGAGTACGACAACATAGCAAGAATACGTGATGCTGTTTCGATGATCTGGGAGCCCCCTAGGGCTGGCCACCAGGATTTCAGTGCGGCCCAGAGGCACCCAAGAGGGCTCCAAGACGGGCCTGGAGACCATCTGAGGCCATGCTGGAAGTATGGAATCCCGATCACGCTCCGGAGGCCTTTGAAGATGTCACGCGAGCCGCCCCGAGAGCGCCTGGAATCGGCGGCGCACCTGGGGGCAAGTGAGAGGGGGCGGGCCTTCTCAGAAGGCTCGGAAGTCTTTTGGTCTTCTGAGAAGTTTTCTAAGCTTTTCCCAAAAGGCACAAACGACTTCTCAGAAGGCGCGAGGGCTTCTGAGAAGTCCCGCCGCCTTCTGAGAGGGCCTTCTCCTTCTCATTTTTGTTCCCTCGCTCGCCGCCGATGAAAGCGCCCCAGAGCGCCTGTGAATACGGGCCCAGGGCCCTGTGAGAGCATTCGCAACAGCATCGCTCAGCAGGGAGAAGTCAAGGTAACCTGAGGTCAGTGCATGCGGCACGGTGACGCACAAGTCAAAGTCAGGGGTCCTGGCGGCACCTGCTCGCCCTCCTGGGAGAAGTCGAGGGTCCTGGTCGGGCGGGTCTACGTAGGGCGAGGCTAAGTCAGTTCCAGAGCGTTCTGGAACGCTCTCAGAGCGTTCTGGAGCGCTCTGAGAAGGCCGTGGCGCCCGAGACATCCTCCAGGACCGCCAGATGTCAACAGATTCTCGATTGATCCTCACCCGATTCTGTCCTCGCCCTGGCTTCGTCTTGCCTGGTGACACCTGCCCGCCGTCCTTGGAGCTCCAGAGGGAGGGTGGGCAAAGGCGCCCTCGAGGGCGCGAAGTTATTCGCGCTTCGCGCTTCGGCTCCGACTCCTCACCCCCCTCCTCTGCCTTGGGAGGCGGCGCGAGAGCGCGAAGTTGGGAGCCCCTGGTGAGGCGCGCAGAGGGGAAGGGCGGGCCCGGCGGCCCGCAGGTGGAGCTGCGGCCCCCGCTGCCCGCAGATTGCCGCCCGGACCGGGAGCAGCACCCGAAGTTCCCCTGAGGGCGGCGCGCCGCGGGGGTCGCAAGTCCTGAAGCCTCCTCCTCCTCCTCCTCCTCCTCCTCCTCCTCCTCCTCCTCCCTCGTCCTCCCTCGTCCTCCTCTTCCTCGTCCCTCCTCCTCGTCCCTCCTCCTCCTCCTCCGCCTCCTCCTCCTCCTCCTGCTCCTCCTCCTCCTCGTAGTCGTTGCCATCGTCGTCGTTGTTGCGCGGCGGGTGCCGCGGAAACAACTGATTAGTCGCCCCCTGTTGGTGGGACCCCAGTCCTGCAATAAGGCCGCCAAACGAATACTTAGTCACCCCGTATTGGAGGGGGTTCCAAAGACCTTTCAGCGTTACCAGCTTGAGTCCTGGCACTAAGAACAGCAGGGCACCCAGACAGGCGGAGAGACACCAGAAGTGCCAAGCTGTTCCCAGGCAGGCTCTGCATATCCCTGTCCCTGTGATTAGCATCACCCTGCCTCGGTAGGGACGAGGTCGAGGCTGGTCAAGGCAGTCTCGCTCGGGCGCGCTCCTGTGGACTGGGGAGTGCACGCGAGTGCGGGGCCCAGTGCGGAACTCCCACGGGGACGGGGATTGAGGTCGCCGTAGCCTCCGTGAGGGGGCGTGCTCCGCTCGCCCAGACCTCCTCGCGTCTCGGAAACGTCACGACGGACAGTTCTTCGCCATCTTTCCAGCGTCCGGGCGCCCTTGTCATGCCCTGGGGCTGTCAAACGCAAGTCGGGATAAAGGCACGTCCCCAGAAAGTAGTCAAGACGCCTGGGCACCCACGTTCAATGGAGTCACGTCGTCGAGACTTGGGGGGGAGGCGGGCGAAGGGGGGTTGGGGGAAGTGGGGAGCACAGTCAAAACGGGCCTCGAGGATGCGCCGTCGACGCACTGGGAGCGTTGTATCCTTGTTTCTGGGCACCCTCGTCGTGGTTTCTGCCTCCTTGGGCCCAGGTGTCCCGTGACTTGCGCTGTTCTTCCTATGCAACTCACACTCTGATGCTCCAGCTCTGAGGAGGCGGAGGAGGCGCAGGAGGAGGAGGATGACGAAGACGAGGACGAGGAGGAGACGAGGAGGAGGAGGATGAGGAGGATGAGGAGGAGGGGGAGGGGGAGAGGGAGGAGGAGGAGGAGGAGGAGGAGGAGGAGGAGGAGGAGGAGGTGGAGGAGGAGGAGTGCCTGGTCTCGAGTGTGCGAAGACTGCTGGCATGGTCGCCGTTTTTTTGCCGTTTTCATGTTCAAGAGACACTTGCTCGAAAACGGTGCAAAAGCGGCCCTGCCGTTTCCGGGGCCCATTGAGGGCGGGACTTCTCAGAAGCCCACGCGCCTTCGGAGAAGTTGTTTCTGTCTGCGGGAGCTTCGAGCCTTCTGAGAAGTCCTTCTCCTTCTCGCTTCCCCCCCCTCGCTCGCCGCCGAATGGAAGAGTGTCGGGGGGCGACAGGAGGATGTCTCTGCCCTGGGTCTTCGACGTTCCCTGGAGGCTCCCACCAGTTCGCGGCCCCCGGGGTGCCTCCTATCAGCCGCATCCCCTCGAGAGCCTTCGGGGTGACCTGGATCCACCCGAGCGGCCGCCAGGGGCTCGAGCTGTGTCCCGAAGGCCAGCCAGAGGGCGGGCAGGAGGACTCTGACACATCGGGCGTCGTGGAAGAAGCCGCGACGAGCGTTCTGGCCCCGCCTCGGGTCCAGGGGGGACCCTCACGTGCTGAAAAGCGGCAAAGGAGGAGGAGGAGGAGGAGGAGGAGGAGGCACGCACGCAGAGCTTAGGGGCTCTCGCGGAGTTTGCTCTGCCATACTGCCATACAGTGGTGGAGCACGTCAGGCCGCTGTGCCTGGCGCATGTTTAAAATTTTGGTAATATCCCATGTTTTAAGCGCCTGTTTCTGCGCCTCTCTCCCGCACCCGCTCGCTTTTTGTCTCTCAAGGCAGGAAGTTGTTTAACCATCTCCTGCCATTGGTGGGAGTCGTAGCGTCACCGCTTTAATCGTCGTGGCAATTCAAGAAGGCTTCGCATGTTGCCGCCCTCACTTCAGGCTCAGCGGGGCATCGTTGGTTCGGAAGGTGACGATGCTATTGTGCTTTGTTTCCAACCCTACTGTGTTGGTTCCTCATGTTCAGTCGGGCACTGCTGCTCCTCATTCCTTCCGCATCCTCCCTTCTCTCTTCTCCCTCTGCACGTCTCCTATTTCCCGTCGCTTCCTCGTCTCTTCACTTTCTGTCTCTTGTCGCTGCGTGGCTGCAGCGACGAGCGTAACTGTCTGAACTTTCCTGCGCTTCGGGGGTCCGGCGAGGTGAAGAAACACGCATGCCCACCTCTTGGTGCTGCCAATCGTGTTGGGTTGGTTGGTTACGGCTCTGGGAGGTTGCTTGAGCTCCCTTTGCTGAAACCTCGACCTGACTTGCCTGCCATTACGACCCTCCTCCTTCTTCCAGGCTTCTCAAGCCAGCCGCTTCTTCCGACTCCTCCTCACATCGTGATGTGGAGAAGAGGACGACCTTCGCCCCCTCCGAGGGCCATGTGAGCAGAGCATCGTAAGATCAGCAGCGCTCCGTCAAGAGCGTCCTCTTCTCATCTTGACAAGGGGGAAGAGGATGACCGTTGCCCCCTCCGCGGGCCACGTGAGCAGGATACCGCAGGAGCCGCAGCAGGCCTGCGGCCTACCCCCTCCTCCGCCCGGCCGCGGGGGTGTTGCCGACCCAGTATTTTGCGGCGAGCCCAGGGGGGAAGGGAGAATGGGCGGGCCTTCTCAGCACGCTCGGACGTCCTCTGGCATTCCGAGAAGTTTTTCTGAGCCTTCCCCAAGACACGGAAAGCTCCTCAGAAGGCGCGAGGGTTTCTGAGAAGTCCCGCCGCCTTCTGAGAAGGCTCTCTCCTTCTCACTTCCCCCCTTCGCTCGCCGCCAAAGTATTCGGAACGGTATGGCACGAACGACGCCCGGAGGGGGGAGGTGCGAAGTCGGGCGGGGCTAGGACATGTATACATCTCTCCAGAGCGTTCACTCCATCCTGCAGGGCCTCCAGATCTCAGAGATCCCCGATTTTTCCTGGTCCGAATTAGTCCCCGTCCTCTAGCTTTGTCGTACGATGAGGACGGCATGTGAAGATTCATCCCTCCTCCCCCTCGAGGAGGAGGAGAAGGAGGAG